TGATAGAGTGATCGATGGGTCATTGTTGTGTATCAAGGAACATTTATACTGATATATGTTATTGCATTCACATGCTGATTTTCTAGTACACATTTATAGATTCATATATATATATTCTCTTGCCGATGGTGCAACAGTGTATGTAGACTTGATCAACTTGAGGAGGTTGATAGTATCAGGTGGTGAACCAGGAGATAGAATACCACTTGATAAGCTGATGATAGAGTTCTGATGATGCTGGAGTGCAACCTGATTGTAATAGTATAGAGTATAGGATTCATTATTATTATATGTGTGTGTATGAATTGTGTATGTGCTTTGTCCAGTAAATGTATTCCAATTTGCTGGTGTTTGCCCTTGTCCTAGTGAGGCTTCCCAGGATGTAGTAAGGAAGAGAGAGAGAGAGAGAGAAAGAACCAAGAACCACTGCTGTGGACGGGGTAGAACAGAAAACTAGTAAGTCAAAGGGGATTGAGGAGATCATATCACTTAAGGAGAGAGTGGGGAGTCACAGTGGCTCGAGTGGGTGTGTGCACGTGACAACGAGGCTAAGTGTTGGAGCCGCATCCCCTAAACGTGTGACGTTGAGCCCCTCTCCAAGAGCCAGAAGCGCCCAGGGTGATCTCCTAGTGAGGTATAAGCACTCTACCGAGTTGTGGGTTGGGTTGTCCGGAAAGAAGGATCAACAACACGACAACACCACCAACCCAAACTATAATAATAGATACTAGGGATTATAGATACTAGGGGTTATAGATACAAGGGGTTATAGATACTAGAGGATATAGATACTAGGGGTTAAAGATAATAGGGGTTATAGATACTAGTGGTAATAGATACTAGGGGTTATAGATAATAGGGGATATAGATACTAGGGGTTACAGATACTAGAGGATATAGATACTAGAGGTTATAGATACTAGGGGTAATATATACTAGGAGTTATAGATACTAGGGGCTATAGATACTTGAGGATATGTATACTAGGGATTATAGATACTTGAGGATATGGATACTAGGGGTTATAGATACTAGGGGTTATGCATACTAGGGGTTATAGATACTAGGGGTTATAGATACTAGGGGTTATAGATACTAGAGGATATAGATACTAGGGTTTATAGATACTAGGGGTTATAGGTACAAGGGGTTATATATACTAGGGGTTATAGATACTTGAGGATATAGATACTAGGGGTTATAGATACTTGGGGTTATAGATACTAGAGGATATAGATACTAGGGTTTATAGATACTAGGGGTTATAGATACTAGGGGTTATAGATACTAGAGGATATAGATACTAGGGGTTATAGATAATAGGGGTTATAGATACTAGAGGATATAGATACAAGGGATTATATATACTAGGGGTTATAGATGCTAGGGGTTACATATACTAGAGGATATAGATACTAGGGGTTATAGATACTAGAGAATATAGTTAGTAGGGGTTATAGATACAAGGGGTTATAGATACTAGGAATTATAGATACTAGGGTTTATAGATACTAGGGGTTACAATACTAGAGGATATAGATACTAGAGGTTATAGATATTTGGGGTTATAGATACTATGGGTTATAGATAGTAGGGGTTATAGATACTAGGGGTTACATATACTAGAGGATATAGATACTAGGGGTTATAGATACTGGATGATATAGATACTAGGAGTTATAGATACTAGAGAATATAGTTAGTAGGGTTTATAGATACAAGGGGTTATAGATACTAGGAGTTATAGATACTAGGGTTTATAGATACTAGGGGTTACAATACTAGAGGATATAGATACTAGAGGTTATAGATATTTGGGGTTATAGATACTATGGGTTATAGATAGTAGGGGTTATAGATACTAGGGGTTATAGATACTAGAGGATATAGATGCTAGGGGTTACAGATAATAGAGGATATAGATACTAGGGGTTATATATACTAGGGGTTATAGATACTAGAGGATATAGATACTAGGGGTTACAGATAATAGAGGATATAGATACTAGGGGTTATAGATACCAGGCGTTATAGATACTAGACAATATAGATACTAGGGGTTATATAGGTACAAGGGGTTATAGATACTAGAGGATATAGATACTAGGGGTTATATAGATACTAGGGGTTATAGATACTAGAGGATATAGATACTAGGGGTTATAGATACTAGAGGATATAGATACTAGGGGTTATAAAGATACTAAGGGGTATCGAGGCAGTAACTACCTTAGACTTCTCTCTCTCCCTCGTCTTTCGACCCGAATCAGCGAGGGGTCTGCCCCCCCCCCCCCACCAACCCGAGGCCCCCCCTCCCTCCCCCCCTTCCAGTGACCCCCCCCCCCCCCACCGCCCCCCTTCTGCGAGGAGGACACGTGACTGGCATATTAATAGAGGCATCAGTGCCTCCGTGGACACCGGGTGCCTCCCAACCTCGTCCATTATCTCGGTACGTGGGTTCGAATCCTTCCCTGGGCTCAAGTGGAGAGAGGGGAGATGTGAGATGGAGAGGGTGAGGGGAGATGGGGGGAGGGGGAGGGGAGAGAGTGAGGAGGGTTTACATGTGTTGTAACATATGTTGGATTGTTGATGTTGTGTTTCATGTGTTGTAGAACACCTATTGTGTATTGACTGGTGTTACACAATGTGAGTCTTGGACCGGGGCTCAGACGGGATATAAGACAGGCAGGTGAAGTAGACAGGTGCGAGTGGATAGAGACAGAAGCACACACGTACGCACACATACACACACACATAGGGGTCTGGTAGCTGAGCGGACAGCTCCCAGGTCTCATAATTCTGTGGCCCGGGTTTGATTCCTGGACCAGGCAGAAACAAATGGGCAAAGTTTCTTTCACCCTGATTCCCCTGTTACCTAGCAGTAAATAGGTACCTGGGAGTTAGACAGCTGTTACGGAGCTGCTTCCTGTGTGTGTGAGGGGGGGGGGGGGAAATAGTTAGTAACAGTTGATTGATTGACAGTTGAGAGGCTGGGCCCAAAGAGCAGAGCTCAACCCCCACTAGCACAACTAGGTGATAAAACTAGGTGAATACACACACACACACACACACACACACACACACACACACACACACACACACACACACACACACACACACACACACACACACACACACACACACACACACACACACGACTCCAAACACAGTTTCAAATGTAGATATGATAGAGCTCAATAGGCTCAGGAATCTGTACACCAGTTGATTGACAGTTGAGAGGCTGGGCCCAAAACCAAAACTCAACCCCCGCAAGCACAAATAGGCGAATACAAATAGCTGAGTGCACATACAGGCATTGGCGAGCTCTGAACATCATTCAGAAACCTAAGTGAGGAGGCTTTTATGGTGCTTTACACTGCCTGCGTGAGACCAGTCTTAGATTATGCTGCCCCATCATGGAGTCCCCACCTGAAGAAACACATAAGGAAACTGGAAAAGGTTCAGAAGTTTGCGACGAGGCTCTTCCCAGATTTACGAGGGATGGGATATGGAGAGCGCCTGAAGGATCTGAGCCTTACGACACTAGAAATAAGAAGGGAGACGGGATATGATAGGAACATATAAAATACTCAGGGGAACTGACAGAGTGGAAATAGACGAAATGTTCTCACGTAATATTAAGAGAACGAGGGGACAAGGGTGGAAGCTGGAAACTCAGATGAGTGACAGAGATGTTAGGAAGTTTTCTTTTAGCGTGAGAATAGTGGAAAAATGGAATGCACTTAAGGAGCAGGTTGTGGAAGCAAACTCTTTTCATAAGTTTATAACAATGCTCTATTCTGCAGGCACAAATAGATGAGTACAAATAGAAGAGTACACACATACACACACACACATGTGGGAAAACCTGTCGGGATTGATATGAGAGGAGAATTACTAGGGACTTGTACTGTACTAAATTAAAAATTACTGTATGCAAAATTTATTCAACTAAAGTCTCTAAAGTTAGGGTCACAAATCCTAGCTCCTCTTTTCCTAATGTCAGACTGTGGGCTGTAAGTGGCTGGTGGGGTCCTAAGGATAAATGTAGAAGTTGGGTGAAGATCCACAGTCCACCTGCAGACAGGTTTCGTAAATCAACTTGTATTGTTAATACTAGGATAAGATTTAATAATTCTGTTCTATAACTGAACACTGGTTCTGTTTAAATCAGGGATCTAAACATGTACACAGTCTACCCTAGCACCATAACTATAACAGCCAATATTCTTATACTATAAACACAACAATTTATATTGTAGAAGAATGGTATATGAATATGCAATCAAATGACCTTAAATGTGGTCTAAGTACTATAAGTACTATTAATTCAGTACAAGAGATTATATTCAATTATATAAACTTATATTATAAATTAGAGATAACTAAGCAAGCAATTGTTGACTTAACTTATATGCTCAAGTATTTATATAGATATATTCTATTTATATGAAGAGATTCAGGCAGACTGACTTGACTTTTCCCAGACAAGGGACACTCATGAGGCTCTGTTTACTTCACGAGTGTCTCGTCAGTGAAAAGAGATTCAGTAACTACTATATTAATAATACTGAAATATGAGGCATGGCCTCACCTTGTAACGACAAACAGACTTATTGGATATATCAACGTTATAAAAGCATGCAATTGTCCAATTAACACTCTAAAATAACTGGATATACATATGTCTAAATGCCGGGTGCCTGTCTGACAAGTGGCCAGACTGGATAACTCTCTTGTGGAGTTTAGACACGATATTTTATGTCACAGCTGTGCTGTATAATGAGCTGGTAGTGTTGCTAATTGACTATGTCCTTAATTGTGTTTGCAGTAAGCAAAGATAGGTGACGATGGTGGAGGTGGAGACGGCATCACACAGGGTGAGTGAGCTCCACACTACACTTTTAATTAGATAATATACTAGGATTTTCCTTGTAGATATAGACCAGGTACTCACCCAGTTCTAGAGAGTAATCACTGGTGATAAAGATAATTGAATAATGTGTCCTAAGCTGAAGATTGTTCGCATGGCACCATCACACATTTCACTCTGTTAGTAAACAAACGCGTTCTGCCTCCGGGCGACCCCATAGGTCGCTTCGCTCCCGTGATGGCTCCACCCTCTCCCTAGAGAGGGAAGATTTCAATGAATATTGATTGATTATTTTTACTGTCTAGACATATGATTGAGATAAGATGTGATTATAATAATTCGATATAAGATTTAAAGATAACAAGTAGTACTTGCTAGCCCTACTGATTTTTATTAAGGATTTGATTTCATCCTCTTTTGGAAATTGATTGATGTTTCAATAGTTTTTTATTAAAATATTCTTCTTGAAGCTTCTAGAAGCTTCTAGAACTTTGAGAAATCATGCACAAAGTCACGAAGGCAACTAAGGGCCCTATGGCTGTACGTGATCACAGTGGCATTGTCATCTAGGATCCAGATGTATAATGAATCTGTAATAATTCTATGATTATTTTGATATTGATTTTGATATAATTTAGATATGATTTAGAAATAATAAATTTTTTAGATAATAATATAGATATAGTGGGTAAAATTTTCCACAACACACACACACACACACACACACACACACACACACACCGGTTGAGAGGTGGGACCAAAGAGCCAGAGCTCAACCCCCGCAAACACAATTAGGTGAGTACACTGTACTCACCTATTTGTGCTTGCGGGGGTTAAGCTTTGGCTCTTTGGTCCCGCCTCTCAACTGTCAATCAACTGGTGTACAGATTCCTGAGCCTACTGGGCTCTATCATATCTACATTTGAAACTGTGTATGGAGTCAGCCTCCACTACATCACTGCCTAATGCATTCCATCCGTTAACTACTCTGACACTGAAAAAGTTCCGTCTCTGTGGCTCATGTGGTTACTCAGTTTCCACCTGTGTTCCCTTGTTCGCGTCCCACCAGTGTTGAATAGTTTATCCTTGTTTACCTGGTCGATTCCTCTGAGGATTTTGTAGGTTGTGATCATGTCTCCCTTTACTCTTTTGTCTTCCAGTGTCGTAAGGTGCATTTCCCGCAGCCTTTCCTCGTAACTCATGCCTCTTAGTTCTGGGACTAGTCTAGTGGCATACCTTTGGACTTTTTCCAGCTTCGTCTTGTGCTTGACAAGGTACGGGCTCCATGCTGGGGCCGCATACTCCAGGATTGGTCTTACATATGTGGTGTACAAGATTCTGAATGATTCCTTACACAGGTTCCTGAACGCTTTTCTAATGTTAGCCAGCCTCGCATATGCCGCAGACGTTATTCTTTTTATGTGGGTTTCAGGAGACAGGTTTGATGTGATATCAACTCCTAGATCTCTCTCTCTGTCCGTTTCATTGAGTACTTCATCTCCTATTCTGTATCCTGTGACTGGCCTCCTGTTTCCATTGCCTAGTTTCATTACTTTGCATTTACTTGGGTTGAACTTCAACAGCCATTTGTTGGACCATTCACTCAGTCTGTCTAGGTCATCTTGTAGCCTCCTACTATCGTCCTCAGTTTCAATCCTCATCATAATTTTTGCATCATCGGCAAACATTGAGAGAAACAATTCTATACCCTCTGGGAGATCATTTACATATATCAGAAACAGTATAGGTCTGTTAGGCACACACACACAGAACTGCGTGTGTGTGTGTGTGTGTGTGTTTACTCACCTAGTTGTGTTTGCGGGGGTTGAGCTCTGGCTCTTTGGTCCCGCCTCTCAACCGTCAATCAACAGGTGTACAGATTCCTGAGCCTATTGGGCTCTATCATATCTACACTTGAAATTGTGTATGGAGTCAGCCTCCACCACATCACTTCCTAATGCATTCCATTTGTCAACCACTCTGACACTAAAAAAGTTATTTCTAATATCTCTGTGGCTCATTTGGGCACTCAGTTTCCACCTGTGTCACCTTGTGCGTGTGCCCCTTGTGTTAAATAGCCTGTCTTTATCTACCCTATCAATTCCCTTCAGAATCTTGAATGTGGTGATCATGTCCCCCTTAACTCTTCTGTCTTCCAGCGAAGTGAGGTTTAATTCCCGTAGTCTCTCCTCGTAGCTCATACCTCTCAGCTCGGGTACTAGTCTGGTGGCAAACCTTTGAACCTTTTCCAGTTTAGTCTTATCCTTGACTAGATATGGACTCCATGCTGGGGCTCCATACTCCAGGATTGGCCTGACATATGTGGTATACAAAGTTCTGAATGATTCTTTACACAAGTTTCTGAATGCCGTTCGTATGTTGGCCAGCTTGGCATATGCCGCTGATGTTATCCTCTTGATATGTGCTGCAGGAGACAGGTCTGGCGTGATATCAACCCCCAAGTCTTTTTCTTTCTCTGACTCCTGAAGAATTTCCTCTCCCAGATGATACCTTGTATCTGGCCTCCTGCTCCCTACACCTATCTTCATTACATTACATTTGGTTGGGTTTAACTCTAACAACCATTTGTTCGACCATTCCTTCAGCTTGTCTAGGTCTTCTTGAAGCCTCAAACAGTCCTCTTCTGTTTTAATCCTTCTCATAATTTTAGCATCGTCCGCAAACATTGAGAGAAATGAATCGATACCCTCCGGGAGATCATTTACATATATCATAAACAAGATAGGACCGAGTACAGAGCCTTGTGGGACTCCACTGGTGACTTCACGCCAATCTGAGGTCTCACCCCTCACCGTAACTCTGCTTCCTATTGCTTAGGTACTCCCTTATCCACTGGAGCACCTTACCAGCTACACCTGCCTGTCTCTCCAGCTTATGTACCAGCCTCTTATGTGATACTGTGTCAAAAGCTTTCCGACAATCCAAGAAAATGCAGTCTGCCCAGCCTTCTCTTCCTTGCTTAATCTGTGTTACCTGGTCATAGAATTCTATTAAGCCAGTCAGGCAAGATTTACCCTCCCTGAACCCATGTTGGCGATTTGTCATGAAGTCCCTTCTCTCCAGATGTGTTACCAGGTTTTTTCTCACGATCTTCTTCATCACCTTGCATGGTATACAAGTCAAGGACACTGGCCTGTAGTTCAGTGCCTCTTGCCTGTCGCCCTTTTTGTATATTGGGACCACATTCGCCGTCTTCCATATTTCTGGTAGGTCTCCCGTCTCCAGTGACTTACTATACACTATGGAGAGTGGCAAGCAAAGTGCGTCTGCACACTCTTTCAGTATCTATGGTGAGATCCCGTCTGGACCAACAGCCTTTCTAACATCCAGATCCAGCAGGTGTCTCTTGACCTCCTCTCTCGTAATTTCGAGAGAGGAGGACACACACAATGGTTGTGTGTGTGTGTGTGTGTGTGTGTGTGTGTGTGTGTGTGTGTGTGTGTGTGTGTGTGTACTCACCTATTTGTACTCACCTATTTGTGCTTGCAGGATCGAGCATTGACTCTTGGATCCCGCCTTTCCAGCTATCGGTTGTTTACAGCAATGACTCCTGTCCCATTTCAATATCATACCTAGTTTTAAAAGTATGAATAGTATTTGCTTCCACAACCTGTTCCCCAAATGCATTCCATTTTTCCACTACTCTCACGCTAAAAGAAAACTTCCTAACATCTCTATGACTCATCTGAGTTTCCAGTTTCCACCCGTGTCCCCTCGTTCTGTTATTATTACTTGTGAACATTTCATCTATTTCCACTTCGTCAATTCCCCTGAGTATTTTATATGTCCCTATCATATCTCCTCTCTCCCTTCTTTTCTCTAGTGTCGTAAGGTTCAGTTCCTGCAGACGCTCTTCATATCCCATCCCTCGTAACTCTGGAACAAGCCTCGTCGCAAACCTCTGAACCTTCTCCAGTTTCTTTATGTATTTCTTCAGGTGGGGGTTCCATGATGGCGCGGCATACTCTAAGACGGGTCTCACGTAGGCAGTGTAAAGTGCCCTAAAAGCCTCCTCATTTAGGTTTCTGAATGAAGTTCTAATTTTCGCCAGTGTAGAGTACGCTGCTGTCGTTATCCTATTTATATGTGCCTCAGGAGTTAGATTAGGTGTCACATCCACTCCCAGGTCTCTTTCTTGAATTGTTACAGGTAGGCTGTTCCCCTTCATTGTGTACTGTCCCTTTGGTCTCCTATCACCTGATCCCATTTCCATAACTTTACATTTACTGGTGTTAAACTCCAGTAGCCATTTCCCTGACCATCTCTGCAACCTGTTTAAGTCCTCTTGGAGGATCCTACAATCCTCGTCTGTCACAACTCTTCTCATTAATTTTGCGTCATCCGCAAACATTGACATGTATGATTCCACTCCTGTAAACATATCATTTACGTAAATTAGAAAGAGGATTGGTCCCAGCACCGATCCTTGAGGTACTCCACTTGTTACTGTTCGCCAGTCCGACTTTTCGCCCCTTACCATTACCCTCTGGCTCCTTCCTGTTAGGTAGTTCTTCACCCATACTAGGGCCTTTCCGCTTACTCCTGCCTGCCTCTCAAGTTTGTATAGCAGTCTCATGTGCGGTACTGTATCAAAGGCCTTTTGGCAGTCAAGAAATATGCAGTCTGTCCAGCCTTCTCTGTCCTGCCTTATCCTTGTTACTTTATCATAGAATTCTAAAAGGTTTGTTAGGCATAATTTCCCTGTCCAGAACCCATGTTGGTGCTAGTTTACAAACCCAATGCTCTCCAGGTGCTCAACAAGTCTTAGCCTAATTATTCTTTCAAGTATTTTGCAGGGGATGCTTGCCAGTGATACGGGTCTGTAGTTAAGTGCCTCCTCCCTATCACCTTTCTTGAAAATCGGTACGACATTTGCCTCCTTCCAGCAACTGGGCAATTCTCCCAACATAAGTGACTCATTAAAGATCATTGCCAGAGGCACGCTGAGAGCCTGCGCTGCCTCTTTATGTATCCACGGTGATACTTTGTCTGGTCCAACAGCTTTATTTGCATCCAGTGTTGTCAACTGTTTCATTACCTCCTCTGCTGTCACCTCAATATCTGATAGTCTTTTATCTAGGGTAATCGCTTCTAACAATGGGAGCGGCTCAGGCTCGGTTGTGAACACTCCATGGAATTTTGCATTCAGTACCTCGCAGATTTCCTTGTCGCTTTCTGTATATGCCCCTTCTGTTTTCCTCAGTCTTGTCACTTGGTCATTTACCGACATCTTCCTTCTTATATGGCTATGTAGTAATTTAGGTTGCTTTTTCACTTTGACTGCAATATCATTCTCATAATTTCTTTCCGACACTCGTCTTATGTTAATGTAATCATTCCTAGCTCTGTTACATCTAATCCTGTTGTCCTCTGTCCTTTGTCTTCTGTACTTCCTCCACTCCCTCCTGCTTCTCACCTTTGCTTCCTGACACTGTCTATTAAACCATGGGTTATTATATTCCCTCCTGCTTTTTTCCTTTATTGTTGGAATAAATCTCTCTTCAGCCTCCTTGTATTTCAATATGAGTTGGTTCATCATACCTTGCACTGTTTTTCCTCTAAGTTCTTCCTCCCACTGCACTTCTCCCAGGTAGTCCCTTATCCTTCTGTAGTCCCCTTTTCTGTAATCAAGTCTCCTTTCCCGGACCTCTTGTCCTTTGGTCACAATTTTAAGCTCCATCATATGTGTGTGTGTGTGTGTGTGTGTGTGTGTGTGTGTGTGTGTGACTGAGACTACGGGAATTAGACCTCACGTCACTGGGAGACAGAAGAGTTAGAGAGGACATGATCACCACATACAAGATTCTCAGAGGAATTGATTGGGTAGATAAAGACAGGCTATTTAACACAAGGGGCACACGCACTAGGGGACACAGGTGGAAATTGAGTGCCCAAATGAGCCACAGAGACGTTAGAAAGAATTTTTTCAGTGTCAGAGTAGTTGACAATGAATGCATTAGGTAGTGATGTGGTGGAGGCTGACTTCATACACAGTTTCAAGTGTAGATATGATAAAGCCCAATAGGCTCAGGAACCTGTACATTAGTTGATTGACGGTTGAGAGGCGGGACCAAAGAGTCAGAGCTCAAGCCCCGCAAGCACAACTAGGTAAGTACACACACAGAGGGTGTCTGTAGCTGAGCGGACAGCGCGCAGGACTCGTAATTCTGTGACCCGGGGTTCGATTCCCGGACCAGGCAGAAACAAATGGGCAAAGTTTCTTTCACCCTGATGCCCCTGTGACCTAGCAGAAAATGGGTACCTGGGAGTTAGACAGCTGTTACGGAACTGCTTCCTGGGTTGGGGGGGGGGGGGATTAGTTAGTTAGAAACTTGTTAGTTACAATTGATTGACTGACAGTTGAGAGGCGGGCCTAAAAAAGCTGATCTCAACCCCAGCAAGAACAAATAGGTGAATACACATGAACTGCGTGAAATCGTCAAATGAAGTGAAATGGACCTCACGACACTGGAAAAACAAAAGAGTATGGGGAGACATGATCATTACCTAAAAAAATTCTCAGAGGAATTGACAGGATAGATAATGATAAATTGTTTAATACGGGTGGTACGCCAACAAGGGGACACAGGTGGAGACTGAGTACCCAACTGTGCCACAGGGACTTTAGAAAGAATTTTTTCAGTGTCAGAGTAGTTAACGGATGGAATGTATTAGGCAGTGATGTGGTGGAGGCTGACTCCATACACAGTTTCAAGTGTAGATATGATAGAGCCCAATAGGCTCAGGAACCTGTACACCAGTTGACTGACAGTTGAGAGGCGGGACCAAAGAGCCAGAGCTCAACTTCCGCAAGCACAACTAGATGAGCACAACTAGGTGAATACAAACAGGCCTCGGGGTCCTCGCGGCTGAGTGGACAGCGCTCGGGGGTCGTAGTCGTAATAGCCCGGGTTCGATCTCCTGCGGTGGTGGAAATAAATGGGCAGAGTTTCTTTCATCCTGACGCACCTGTTCACCTAGCAGCAAGTAGGTACCTGGGAGTTAGACAGCTGCTGCGGGCTGCTTTCTGGGAATGTGTGTGTGTCTGTTGGAGAGTAGTAGAGAGAATTGAGGAAAAAAAAAAATGTCAGAAAGGCGGGGTCCAAGAGCTAATAGCTCGATTCTGTAGGTACAAATACTAAGCAGAAACACACACACAGGCTGGGCCTTACACCTCTGGCGCTGACAAACACCTTCCCCCTACCGGAGGGAAGGGGGGGGGGGGTTGTTGTGTACACAGGTCAGGTGACAACTACATTCACACACACCTGGTACCTGATCCCCTGAGTTGTCTGCCTTCACACCCTCCCGGACCCTGCTCTCTCTCTCTCTCTCTCTCTCTGGTTTGGTGTCATATATTCACTCCGTCTTGGTATGCAGCTTCTTGCCCTTATATCCTAGTTTCTTGCCCTTATATCCTAGTTCCTTGTCCTTATATCCGAGCTCCTTGCAATATAAAGAGGTAAGGTAAAGTCAATAAATAATTAAACAGTCCTCATTGCATAGTGGTTAAGACTCGCCTGGCGTTTGGCGAGCGCTTGTCCTGGGTTCGTATCCTGGCCGGGGAGGATTGACTGGGCGCCAATCCTTAACTGTAGCCTGTGTTTACCCAACACAATAAAATGGGTACCTGGTTGTTAAACGACCTGGCGGGTCGTATTACGGGGAATGTTTGAGTGATCTTGAGACCATCAACACACTCATCACTCTTGAGTGTCTGTCTGGTCTCTTCAGACTCTTCAGACTCTCCACACTCTCCACACTCTTCAGAGTCTCCAGACTCTTCAGACTCTCCACACTCTCCACACTCTTCAGAGTCTCCAGACTCTTCAGAGTCTCCAGACTCTTCAGAGTCTCCAGACTCTTCAGATTCTCCAGACTCTTCAGACTCTCAAGACTCTTCAGACTCTCCACACTCTCCAGACTCTTCAGAGTCTCCAGACTCTTCAGAGTCTCCAGACTCTTCAGACTCTCAAGACTCTTCAGACTATTCAGACTCTCAAGACTCTTCAGACTCTCCAGATTCACCAGACTCTTCAGTCTTTCCAGACTCTCAAGACGCTTCAGACTCTCCAGACTCTCCAGACTCTCCAGACTCACCAGACACTTCAGACTCATCAAACTCTCCAGACTCTTCAGACTCTCCAGACTCTCCAGACTCTCCAGACTCTTCAGACTCTCAAGACTCTCCAGACACTTCAGACTCTTCAAACTCTCCAGACTCTTAAGACTCTTCACACTCTCCAGACCCTCCAGACTCTTCAGACTCTCAAGACTCTCCAGACACTTCAGACTCTTCAAACTCTCCAGACTCTTCAGACTCTTCACACTCTCCAGACCCTCCAGACTCTTCTGACTCTCCAGACTCTTTAGACTCTCCAGACTCTTTAAATTTTCCAGACTCTCCAGACTCTTGAGACTCTTTAAACTCTCTAAATTCTCCAGAATCGTCAGTCCCTCCAGACACTTTAAATTCTCCAAACTCTTCAGACTCTTCAGATTCTCCAGACTCTTTAGACTCTCCAGACTCTTCAGACTCTCCATTTTCTTCAGTCGCTCCAGACTCTTCAGACTCTCCAGACTCTTCAGACTCTCCAGACTGTCCACACTATTCAGATTCTCCTGACTCTCCTGACTCTCCAAACACTTCAGACTCTCCGGACTCTCCAGACTTTTCAGACTCTCCAGACTCTTCACTCTCCAGACTCTTCAGACTCTCCAGACTCTCCAGATTCTCCAGACTCTTTAATCTCTCCAGACTCTTCAGACTCTTTAAACTCTCCTGACTCTTCAGACTGTTCAGACTCTCCAGACTCTCCAGACTCTCCAGACTCCTTAGACTCTCCAGACTCTTCAGACTCCCCAGACTCTCCAGATTCTTCAGACTCTCCAGACTCTCCAGACTCTTTACACTCTCCAAACTCTTCAGACTATCCAGACTCTCCAGACTCTTCAGACTCTCCAGACTCTTCAGACTCTCCAGACTCTTCAAACTCTCCAAACTCTCCAGACTCTTCAGACTCTCCAGACTCTTCAAAATCTTCAGACTCTCCTGACTTTACAGACTCTCCAAACTCTCCACACTCTCCAGATTCTTCAGACTCTTCAGACTCTCCAGACTCTCGAGACTTTTCAGACTCTCCAGACTCTTCAGAGTCTCCAGACTCTACAGACTCTCCACACTCTCCAGATTCTTCAGACTTTCCAGACTCTCCAGACTCTCCAGACTCTTCAAACTCTCCAGACTTTTCAAACACTTCAGACTCTCCAGACTCTCCAGACTCTTCAGACTCTCAAGACTCTCCAGACTCTTCAGACTCTCCAGACGCTTCAGTCTTTCCAGACTCTCCAGACGCTTCAGACTCTCCAGACTCTTCAGTCTTTCCAGACTCTCCAGACGCTTCAGACTCTTCAGACTCTCCAGACCCTCTAGACTCTTCTGACCCTCCAGACTCTTTAGACTCTCTTAACTCTTTAAATTTTCAAGACTCTCCAGACTCTCGAGACTCTTTAAACTCTCCGAATTCTCCAGAATCTTCAGTCCCTCCAGACTCTTTAAACTTTCCAGACTCTTCAGACTCTTCAGATTCTCCAGACTCTTTAGACTCTCCAGACTCTTCAGACTCTCTAGACACTTCAGACTCTCCAGACTCTCTAGACTCTCCTGACACTTCAAGCCCTTTAAACTCTAATGACTCTCCAGACTCTTCACACTCTCCAGACTCTCCAGACTCTTCAGACTCTTCAGACTCTCCAGACCCTCCAGACTCTTCAGACTCTACAGACTCACCACACCTTCCAGACTCCTTAGACTCTTCAGACTAGTGTACAATAAACTACCGCTCACAGGATGAGTATGGGGTGCACAATAAACTGCCCCTCACAGGATGAGCATGGGGTGCACAATAAACTGCCTCTCACAGGATGGGTATGGGGCGCACAATAAACTGGCGCTCACAGGATGAGTATGGGGTGCATAATAAACTACCGCTCACAGGATGAGTATGGGGTGCACAATAAACTGTCGCTTACAGGATAGTATGGGACGCACAATAAACTGGCGCTCACAGGATGAGTATGGGGTGCACAATAAACTGCCGCTCACAGGATGAGTATAGGGTGCACAATAAACTGCCGCTCACAGTATGAGTATGGGGTGCACAATAAACTACCGCTCAAAGGATGAGTATCAGGTGCACAATAAACTATAGCTCAAAGGATGAGTATGAGGTTCACAATAAACTACTGCTCACTGAATGAGTATGGGACGCACAATAAACTACCGCTCACAGGATGAGTATGGGGTGCACAATAAACTACCCCTCACGGGATGAGCATGGGGTGCACAATAAACTATCGCTCACGGGATGAGCATGGGGTGCACAATAAACTGCCCCTCACAGGATGAGTATGGGACGCACAATAAACAACCGCTCACAGGATGAGTATGGGGTGCACATTAATTTACCCCTCACGGGATGAGCATGGGGTGCACAATTAACTATCGCTCACGGCATGAGCATGGGGTGCACAATAAACTGCCACTCACAGGATGAGTATGGGACGCACAATAAACTACCGCACACAAGATGAGTATGGGGTGCACAATATACAACCACTCACAGGATGAGTATGGGGTGCAGAATAAACTGCCGCTCACAGGATGGGTATGGGGCGCACAATAAACTGGCGCTCTTAGATGAGTATGGGGTGCACAATAAACTACCGCTCAAAGGATGAGTATGGGGTGCACAATAAACTGCCGCTCACAGGATGAGTATGGGGTGCACAATAAACTGCCGCTCACAGGATGAGTATGGGGTGAACAATAAACTGCCGCTCAAAGGATGAGTATCAGGTGCACAATAAATTATAGCTCACAGGATGAGTATAAGGGGGCACAATATACTACCACTCACAGGATGAGTATGGGGTGCACAATAAACTACCGCTCACAGGATGAGTATGGGGTGCACAATAAACAACCGCTCACAGGATGAGTATGGGGTGCACAATAAACTGCCACTCACAGGATGAGTATGGGACGCACAATAAACTACCACTCACAGGATGAGTATAGGGTGCACAATATACAACCACACACAGGATGAGTATGGGACGCACAATATACAACCACTCACAGGATGAGTATGGGGTGCACAATAAACTGGCGCTCTTAGGATGAGTATGGGGTGCACAATAAACTGCCGCTCACAGGATGGGTATGGGGCGCACAATAAACTGGCGCTCACAGGATGAGTATGGGGTGCACAATAAACTACCGCTCACAGGATGAGTATGGGGTGCACAATAAACTGCCGCTCACAGGATGAGTATGGGGTGCACAATAAACTGCCGCTCACAGGATGAGTATCAGGTGCACAATAAACTATAGCTCACAGGATGAGTATGGGGTGCACAATATACTACCACTCACAGGATGAGTATGAGGTTCACAATAAACTACTGCTCACGGAATGAGTATGGGGCGTACAATAAACTACCGCTCACAGGGTGAGTATGGGACGCACAATATACAACCACTCACAGGATGAGTATGGGGTGCACAATAAAGTACCGTTCACAGAATGAGTATGGGATGCACAATAAACTGCCGCTCATTGGATGAGTATGGGGTGCACAATAAACTACAGCTCACAGGATGAGTATGGGGTGCACAATAAACTGCCCCTCACAGGATGAGTATGGGGTGCATAATAAACTGCTGCTAACAGGATGAGTATGAGGTGCACAATAAACTGCTGCTAACAGGATGAGTATAGGGTGCAGAATAAACTGCCCCTCACAGGATGAGTATGGGGTGCACAATAAACTGCTGCTAACAGGATGAGTATGGGACGCACAATATACAACCACTCACAGGATGAGTATGGGGTGCACAATAAACTGCTGCTAACTGGATGAGTATGGGGTGCACAATAAACTGCTGCTAACTGGATGAGTATGGGGTGCACAATAAACTGCTGCTAACTGGATGAGTATGGGGTGCACAATAAACTGCTGCTAACTGGATGAGTATGGGGTGCACAATAAACTACAGCTCACAGGATGAGTATAGGGCGCACAATAAACTGCCCCTCACAGGATGAGTATTGGACGCACAATATACAACCACTCACAGGATGAGTATGGGGTGCACAATAAACTGCTGCTAACTGGATGAGTATGGGGTGCACAATAAACTGCTGCTAACTGGATGAGTATGGGGTGCACAATAAACTGCTGCTAACTGGATGAGTATGGGGTGCACAATAAACTGCTGCTAACTGGATGAGTATGGGGTGCACAATAAACTGCTGCTAACTGGATGAGTATGGGGTGCACAATAAACTACAGCTCACAGGATGAGTATAGGGTGCACAATAAACTGCCCCTCACAGGATGAGTATTGGACGCACAATAAACTACCGCGCACAGGATGAGTATGGGGTGCACAATAAACTACCCATCACGGGATGAGCATGGGGTGCACAATAAACTACCCATCACGGGATGAGCATGGGGTGCACAATAAACTGCCATTCACAGCATGAGTATTGGACGCACAATAAACTACCGCTCACAGGATGAGTATGGGACGCACAATATACAACCACTCACAGGATGAGTATGTGGTGCACAATAAACTGCCTCTCACAGGATGGGTATGGGGTGCACAATAAACTACCGCTCACAGGATGAGTATGGGGTGCACAATAAACTACCCATCACGGGATGAGCATGGGGTGCACAATAAACTACCCATCACGGGATGAGCATGGGGTGCACAATAAACTGCCATTCACAGCATGAGTATTGGACGCACAATAAACTACCGCTCACAGGATGAGTATGGGACGCACAATATACAACCACTCACAGGATGAGTATGTGGTGCACAATAAACTGCCTCTCACAGGATGGGTATGGGGTGCACAATAAACTACCGCTCACAGGATGAATATGGGGTGCACAATAAACTGCCGCTCACAGGATGAGTATGGGGTGCACAATAAACTGCCTCTGAAAGGATGAGTATCAGGTGCACAATAAACTATAGCTCTCAGGATGAGTATGGGGGTGCACAATATACTACCACTCACAGGATGAGTATGGGGTGCACAATAAACTGCCGCTCACTGGATGGGTATGGGGTGCACAATAAACTACCACTCACAGGATGAGTATGGGGTGCACAATAAACTGCCGCTCACAGGATTAGTATGGGGTGCACAATAAACTGCCTCTGAAAGGATGAGTATCAGGTGCACAATAAACTAAAGCTCACAGGATGAGTATGGGGGTGCACAATATACTACCACTCACAGGATGAGTTTGGGGTGCACAATAAATTATCGCTCACAAGATGAGTAACGGGTGCACAATATACAACCACTCACAGGATGAGTATGGGGGTGCACAATAAACTACCACTCACAGGATGAGTATGGGGTGCACAATAAACTACCGCTCACAGGATGAGTATGGGGTGCACAATAAACTACCGCTCACAGGATGAGTATGGGACGCACAATATACAACCACTCACAGGATGAGTATGGGGTTCACAATAAACTACCGCTCACAGGATGAGTATGGGGTGCACAATATACAACCACTCACAGGATGAGTATGGGACGCACAATAAACTACCGCTCACAGGATGAGTATGGGACGCACAATATACTATCGCTCACAGGATGCGTATGGGGTGCACAAGAAACTACCGCTCACGAGCATGGGGTGCACAATAAACTATCGCTCACGGGATGAGCATGGGGTGCACAATAAACTGCCACTCACAGGATGAGTATGGGACGCACAATAAACTTCTGCTCACTGGATGAGTATGGGGTGCACAATAAACTGCCACTCACAGAATGAGTATGGGATGCACAATAAACTGCCGCTCACTGGATGAGTATTGGGTTCACAATATACAACAACTCACAGGATGAGTATGGGGTGCACAATAAACTGCCGCTCACAGGATGGGTATGGGGCGCACAATAAACTGCCGCTCACAGGATGAGTATGGGGTGCACAATAAACTCCCTCTCACAGGATGAGTATGGGGTGCACAATAAACTACCTCTCACAGGATGAGTATGGGGTGCACAATATACAACTACTCACAGGATGAGTATGGGGCGCACAATAAACTACCGCTCACAGGATGAGTATGGGGCACACAATAAACTACTACTCACAGGATGAGTATGGTGTGCACAATAAACTACTGCTCACAGGATGAGTATGGGGCGCACAATAAACTACCGCTCACAGGATGAGTATGGGACGCACAATAAACTACCGCTCACAGGATGGGTATGGGGCGCACAATAAACTACTGCTCACTGGATGAGTATGGGGTGCACAATAAACTAACGCTCACGGGATGAGTATGGGGCGCACAGTAAACTTACTGCTCACAGGATGAGTATGGGGTGCACAATAAACTACCGCTCACAGGATGAGTATGGGGTGCACAATAAACTAACGCTCACGGGATGAGTATGGGGCGCACAGTAAACTACTGCTCACAGGATGAGTATGGGGTTCACAATAAACTACCGCTCACGGAATGAGTATTGGACGCACAATATACCACCACTCACAGGATGAGTATGGGGTGCACAATAAACTACCGCTCACAGGATGAGTATGGGGTGCACAATAAACTAACGCTCACGGGATGAGTATGGGGCGCACAATAAACTACCGCTCACAGGATGAGTATGGGGTTCACAATAAACTACCACTCACAGGATGAGTATGGGGTGCACAATAAACTACCGCTCACAGGATGAGTATGGGGTTCACAA